CAGGCCATCTCCAGGAATTAACGCTCCTCAGCATGAGGGCCTGGCTGATCCAGGGTGCTTACTTGGACCCCCTTGGGGGGTGGTCTGCACTGGTGCTCCCAGTCCCCCCTCACACAGGGTGGAGGTGGGGAGAAGGTGCAGGGGGGTTGGCATCAGACCTGAGGAAGGAAGTGTCCATGCTGGGCCTGGCTCTCTAGGTACCTGCTGCACACACAGGGCCCCTGACATCCCCATCCTGGAGGAAGAGCTGATGGTTGAGGGGGGCTCTGGCCCCAATACAAGCAGCACTATTTTCTAGAAGTAAAGTAACTATTTGTTTTTTAAACAACTAAAAAGCTTTTACACACTCCTCTAGTCCAGCAGCACCGCCCTGTGAGGTAAATGTGATTTTGCCAGTTTCCCAGATGAGCTTAGTAAGTTCCCTATGGCCACAGAGGAGGATATGTTTGAAGGAGAACTTGAATTAGTCATATTATAAGATGCTAAAGTAAATACACTTGGGGTTCATTGTTAGTGTTTTTGAATAGTTATTTAAAAATAATATGACACTTTGGATGATTCATTTTTTATTGTGGTAAAGTATGCATAGCAGAATTTACTATCTTAACCATTTTAAGTGCACAGTTCTATTGCACTGAATACATTCACATTGTTCTGCAGCCGTCACCACCATCCATCTCCAGAACTTTTTCATCTTCCCCCTGGAACTCTGCACCTATTTCACATTACCTCCCCTCTCCCTCCAGCCCCTGGCAACCACCATTCTACTTCCTGTCTTGATGGGTTTGACTACTCTAGGTGCTCCATATATGGATGATTCATTATTATTATTTTTTTAAAATATATTTTATTGATTTTTTACAGAGAGGAAGGGAGAGAGATAGAGAGCCAGAAACATCAATGAGAGAGAAACATCGACCAGCTGCCTCCTGCACACCCCCCACTGGGGACGTGCCCGCAACCAAGGCACATGCCCTTGACCGGAATCGAATCTGGGACCTCCCAGTCCACAGGCCGACGCTCTATCCACTGAGCCAAACCGGTTTCAGCCATTATTATTATTATTTTTTAATGATTTCAGAGAGGAAGGGAGAAGGAGAGAGAGATAGAAACATCAATGATGAAAGAGAGTCACTGATTGGTTGCCCCCTGCATATCCCACACTGGAGACTGAGCCCACAACCTGGGCATGTGCCCTGACCGGGAATCGAACCATGACCTCCTGGTTCATAGGTCGCCGTTCAACCTCTGAGCCATGCAGGCCGGGCAGGCTGGTTCATTATTAACCCATTGCTTCCTTCCCTTCAGTAACAGATACCTGGAAGGGACTGGATTAATTCACAGCACCCATCCAAAGCTGAGGGTGGCATCAGGGGTTTTAGAACCGCTGGAAGGACCTTGGAAAGCGTCTAGCAGAACCCTGGGGAGAGGGGAGTCTGCCAGCAAACACCCTGGGGAGGAGGGAACACTTGAAGGGACTCTGGAAGGACATGGAGGCAGCCAGGAAGGTGTGAGCCTCGGAGAGCCCTTGGAATCCTCTCAGATGACTTTTTTTTTTTTAATCTGAACAATAAAGATTTAATTTTTTAAAAAGTGGTATAGGATACACATACATACATACACATATACATATATATATTTTTAAAATCAGGGAGTCTTAATCTCCCCTCCCTTCCCCCCCCCTTTTTTTTTTACCTTTTTCTGGAAATATTTATAGAGTCACAGATAGTTGCATAGATAGTACACAGTGGTCCTGTATCCTCCTCACCTAGTTTTCCCCATTGGTTACATCTTAAATAATTAAAGTATATTAAAAAAAACACCCAGAAAACTGACCTTGGTGTATACTGGGTCTGTGTAGTTCTGTGTCATTATATCACGTGTGTAGATCCAGGTAATCAGGATATAGAATTAATGCATTCCTTTCAATGCCAAGGTCAGATGACTTTTTGTTTTGTTTTCCTTTTCCCTGTGTCCTCCAGGTCTTCAGTTTGATGGACCCAGTGCCCCCATCTATAAGGCAAGAGCCCCCCCTTCCCAGTCCCTTTGTGCACTTGGCATCCTGTCCTTGGCTCACTGCCCAGCCCCCTCCCCCCAGTGGTGGCTGGTCTCGGATTTTGACAGAGCCCCCATCCAGATGAAACATCAGACACGAGTCTGAGGTGAGGGGGGAGGGGGCCCACTTTTTCCAGCCGAAGGAGTGGCTGGAGTTCCAGGGAGGCCTTCCAAGACCACGCCAAGGCACTGAGCCACCGCGGGTGCTGCTGCTTCCACTGCGAGAGGACGCTGCTGCCACAGCTGTGGCTTCGGCTCCTGCGTTGTGTTGCCTCTGCCAGGGCTAGCGCCTCCGAGATGGATGCCCTGTGCCCTGCCCGCTTTCCCCACTTAACAGAGCTCCAAATCAAGGTCTCTGCAAGTACATCCGACTGGTGGGACGTAGATCACATCAAGAGCCCTAACTACAAAGGAGCCTGGGAAATGTAGTTTTAGTTTTCTCACCTCTGTATGTTAAACAGAGGTTGGAATGGCTAGAAGCCTCCTCTGTCCCCACCCCCAGCTACCAGTAAGCCCTCTGCCACCTGCTTCTGTCACTTTCTCAGTTCTCTGTTATCTTCTTATAGCACTTATCTGTACCTGAACTACCTCATATGCGTCGTGATATGCTTATGGCTTCTCTTCCCCAATCCTATATAATAAAAGCCTAATATGCAAATTGACCAAACAGGGGACCAACCAGTGGAATGGCTGGTAGCTATGACATGCACTGACCACCAGGGGGCAGATGCAAGCTGCCCCCAGCCCATAGGCCCCAGGCCAGCCAAGGCGGGTGCAGTGGGGGGGCCCCCCAATTGCCCTGCCAGTCACCCCACAGATCGGCCCTGATCGCCGGCCAGGCCTAGGGACCCTACCCATGCATGAATTTCATGCACCAGGCCTCTAGTAGACTATAAGCTTCTTGAAGGCAAGGAATCTGTCTTATTCACAACTTTCCCCCCTGTGCCTGTAATTTGGATCTCAGAATATATATCCATTGACTGACTAAAGTGCTTTCAGCAAGGCCCTAGCTGGTTTGGCTCCGTGGATAGGGTGTTGGCCTGCAGACCAAAGGGTCCTGGGTTTGATTCTGGTCAAGGGCAGATTGGCTGTAGGTGTGAGGGAAGTGGAAGAACAGCAACGACTTCCACTTGGGGACTTGAGCAGTTGAGCGGATGAAGGTGCCATTCACGAGGCAGGGAGAGGCTTATAGAGAGAAATCAATAGTTCCATTTTGAAGATATCAGTTTGATTTGCTTGTGAAACTTCCTAGCAGGGCAACCAACCAGATAGTTGGATCTCAGAAAGAGATGAACTGTAGACACAAATGTTGAAACCATCAGCAGAGGGGTGGTATTTAAAGCCATGGGAACGGATGAAATCTTCTAGCAAGATGAAATCTTCTAGCAAAGAGCGCAGAGTCAAGCCCTGAAAAGCTCCATTCTGAGTTTTATTTATTTTTGTTAATATACTTTTATTGATTTCAGAGAGGAAGAGAGAGGGAGAATGAGATAGAAACATCAATGATGAGAGAGAGTCATTGATCTGCTGCCTCCTGCACACCCCCCAATGGGGACGGAGCTCACAGCCCAGGCATGTGCCCTTAACCAGAATCGAACCTGGGACCCTTCGGTCTGCAGGCCAACGCTCTGTCCACTGAGCCAAACCAGCGGAGGAGTTGGCAAACTGAAGTCAAAAGAATGGTGTTCTGCAAGCCAACAGATAAGAAGAGAGAAGGAACTGCCCTTGAATGCACCAGGCCCCAGGGCTAAATTCTCCTTTGCTGTGACCAGAGCAGGGACACCATGCAGAGCCAGGCCCTAGCTTCTGGGGCACCCATGAGCTTCTCTCACCCTAATATGCTCTGCCCCCTTGCAGGCCATGTTGGGTATGTGCCTTTCCTTCCATTTAGCTTCTTTGTACTTCACCCACCTTAGGTCACCCTGACAGCTTCTCTGGGGACACTCAACACCCTCGCTGACCTCCCAGACAGTGTGGTGCGGGGAAGAGGCCAGAAGCAGCTGACTATTTCAACCAGTGACCGGAAGCTTTTGAATTTCATCCTCCAGCACGTGACCTACACCAGCACGGTGTACCAGCACCACAGGGTGGATGTGGGTGAGATCCTGTCCTTGGATGGCAACATGCTGAGGGAGCCGGAAAACACCACTGGGCCCTCTCCAAGTCTTCCTCCTCCAGGAAGCCTGCCTGCATGGAAGATGCTTTCCTTGCTCCTGTTTCTAACCCTAGACACCTAACTTCGAAATTACTGTACCCAATACTATCCCCACGTTGCTACTGATCCCATAGAAGGGACTCCAGGCAAGGACAGGTGAAGAGCCTCCTCTTCTCTATGAGGACAGATCTTTCATGCTGTGCACCTGGAAACCATCCGGTTCTGTTCCCTATTCTCTATCGCTCTCAAAGCTGAAGACTTCAGCTGCGGTAGAGGAGGGAGGCAGTCTATGCATCCGTTTATTGTCCTGGGTATTAACAGGAAAGGGGATGTGGGGAAACTCCCAGTCCAAAGGACAGTGGCTTTGACTCCTCCTTCCCAATCAACCCCCTCCCCCAAGCTCCACCCCAGGAATTCCCTGGAGAACAATTTCTTCCCGTTTCTGGATGAATCAGTCACCCCTTTCTCTCTCTCTCTTTTAATATATATATTTTTATTGATTTCAGAGAGGAAGGGAGAGGGAGAGAGAGAAACATCAATGATGAGAGAGAATCACTGATTGGCTGCCTTCTACACTCCCCCCACTGGGGATCAAGCCCACAATCTGGGCATGTACCCTTGACCGGAATCGAACCTGGGACCCTTTAGTCCTCAGGCCGACGCTCTATCCACTGAGCCAAACTGGCTAGGGCACCCCTTTCTCTTTTGACTAGCTACACAGAATGCATTCCCAGGACACCAACAAAAAGAAATGAAATATGGGGCAGGTGACCCATGACGGCACACTAAAAAGCCAGTTCTCCCGACCGAATGACCCTGTGAAATAAAATAGGGCAGGTATTTGTGGAGACCTGCTCCCAAGGGTCCTGCAGGGTAGAGGTGGCGTGGGATTAAAGCACCAGAGACCGGGGTTAGGAGGACTGGCACGAGGCACCAGCAACTTTATTTTTTACACACACTGTTTTATAGCTAAGTTGTGGCTGGTCATGCTTCATAGATCACTGCTAGGGCTTGGCTTCTGATGGGGAAGTAGCAGATCGTTACAGACTGGGCAAGACTGGGCAAGCTTTGTCTAGTTCCATCTATGTTTGACAGTTGCTATGACCAACAGTTGCTATGACAAAATGTCTGCTTGCCTAGATCACAAGAACTGGGGTGCAAACCAAATTCATGTCCTTTACATGACTTGGAGTGGGGTCAGGCCTTTCCTGTAGCCCGACGGCTTCTTATAGGTATTATTATCCTGGTCTTGTAGCTGGAGGAGACTGAGCGATTTACCCAAGGCATTTCAGATAACAATGGCAAAGTCAAAGATAATCTGGACTCTGTGACTCCACACCCTGTCCACCCCTGGAGATTCTCACAAGGGCAAGAAATGTGAGTTTAGGACAGCCGTGGGCAAACTACGGCCCGTTTGAAATGAATAAAACAAACAAACAAAAAAGACCGTACCCTTTTATGTAATGATGTTTACTTTGAATTTATATTAGTTCACACAAACACTCCATCCATGCTTTTGTTCCAGCCCTCCGGTCCAGTTTAAGAACCCATTGTGGCCCTCGAGTCAAAAAGTTTGCCCACCCCTGGCCTAAGCCATCAGTCGGACATCCTTAGTGCTTGCCAGCCACGAGCTTGGCTCTGACTGAGCAGTGCTCCCGCTGTGGGAGTGCACTGACTATCATGGGGTAGCTCCTGCATTGAGCATCTGTCCCCTGGTGGTCAGTGCGCATCATAGCAACTGGTCGTTCTGCTGAGCACAAACCAAAATTCCCAACTCCTAAAAAGAAAAAAGGTTAGGTTAGGCACAGAGAGCCACTCCTATTGGTTCTGGGATTGGTAGGAACATTCTCAGTTTCCAAGTGTCCTGATGCCATCCAGGGATGAACCTTGCGAAGAAGACTTTCTAGGGATAGCCATCTCAGGTCTGCTCTGCTGACTCTTGCACACACTGCCCAAACCGCAGGTGCAGTTGCATTTCAGGGTTATATGATTGGGATGTTCTAAGCCACCAAGTTATCGCTATCCTTATTCATTTAAGAAGATAACATATTCTACATGGCCCTGCATGTAGTGGCCTCTATCTGCCTCTCCAGCCAATCTTATGACACTGCCCTCCTGTTAACAAGAAGTCAGCCACACTGGCTTTCTTTCACTTCTTCTAATTCTCTAAGTGGTTTCGGTTCTGGGCCATTCTGTACACTGCACCTGGCTGAGCCCTGTGTATCCTTCAGCTCCTACCCTGGCAATCACTGATTGAAAAATATCTTCCCTGACCCTTCAGACAACATAAGGACCCACTTGTTTCTCTCAGAATACTCTGCTCTCCTTCTCAGCATTGATGACAATTGTAATTAGATACTTATCATTACCTTCATTGATGTTACTCTCTCTCCCTCTACCTTCCTCTCTGAAATCAATAAAAATATATGATATTAAAAAAAATAAGTAATAAAAACAGAATAGTACTGGAGCATGAATAGATATATCAGTGGAATCAAACTGAAATTCCGGAAATAGACATGTTGGAATTTTACCATGTGATAAAGGTAAGAGGGAAAGATGTATAGTGTGGTTATTTTAGGCATTTTTGAACTTTTTCATAAAAGTTATCACACTGTATAGTATGAAGTTCTAGAACCTGATCTTTCGCAGCCCATGGCTTGTCTTCTGATGTTGTTTCCAGGGTCTGGTTATATGAAAGTTTTATCCATTAGTGTAATAAAATTGATTCACTGTTTTCTTTCTGGGTTTTGCTCTTTGTGCCTTGTTCAAGAAATTATTCTCTACATTAAAGCAAGAACGATATTCTCCTGAATTTTTCCAAAGATGTACCTGATTGCTTTCACATTTAGATATGTGATCTACCTAGAAGTTATTTTTATGTGTGGCTTATTATGGGGATCTAATTTTTTGGTATATGAATAGCAACACCATATAAGCCCTTCCTCTTCCCTGGCTTGTATTGTCGCTCTGTCACACACCAAGGTTCGTATGTGCAGGAGTCTGAATCTGGGCTTTGTTAGCTTGCACTGGTCTGTTTATCGTTGGGCTAATTCCATAATGTTTTTTTAAAAAATATTTTTATTAATTTCAGAGAGGAAGGGAGAAAGAGATAGAAACATCAGTGATGAGAGAGAATCATTGATCAGCTGCCTCCTGCACACCCCCACACTGGGAATCAAGCCCGCAACCCAGGCATGTGCCCTGAATGGGAATTGAACTGTGACCTCCTGCTTCATAGGTCGACACTCAACCACTGAGCCCCGCTGGCCAAGCTAAGTGTACACTTTGATAATACATCATCTGTATATTGTATTGTATGTTCACCACCTAAAGTCATGCCTTCTTCCATCGCCATATATTTGAACCCCTATCCCTCTAAAGTCATGTCTTCTTCCATCGCCATATATTTGAACCCCTATCCCTCTGGTAACCAACATACTATTGTCTGTGTCTATGAACTTTTGCTTGTCTTGTTTGTTCATTTATTGCTTTCAGTTTTATATCCCACAAATGAGTGATATCACAAAGGGCTCTCGACTTTTTTGTCTGATTTATTTTGCTTAGCATGATACTCTCAAGATCCATCCGTGTTGTCACAAATGGCAGTATTTCGTCTTTGCTTATGGCTGACTAGTATTCCATTGTATATGACAACCACATCGTCTTTATCCACTCATCTAGTGAAGGACACCTTGGTTGTTTTCTTGTCTTAGCTACCGTGAAGGAAGTCCATGTCTCTGAGACATGGACTCCCTTTAACTCAGTGCTTCAGTAAACGTAGGGATACATAAATATATTTATTTTCTAACCCTACAAACAAACCCTTGTTAAGCACCTACTGAGGCATGAGGCCCATAAACACTGAGAGGTTGTGGCATAAAAAAACCCACCAGAACAATGTAAGCTAAGACAGTGAGGCTTCCCCAAACACAGTGCTCTGACATCCACCCTTTCTTGACCAGAGAGGAAGCTCAGAGACCTGGTGACCATTGCCACCAAAACGTTCCTCCGTCCCCACAAGCTCATGACCATGCTCCGGAGTGTTCGTGAGTATTATCCAGACTTGACCGTGATCGTGGCTGATGACAGCAAGGAGCCTTTGAAAATTAATGACAGCCACGTGGAGTACTACAGCATGCCCTTTGGGAAGGTATGTCCCTCCCTCCCAGATGGGAGACACCTGGGTCCTGGGACAAGAGGGCCCCAGAGTCAGGTCCCACCCTGGATGGGGCTGCTTCAGTGGCCTCCCCAAGGAAGCAGGGTCCTGGAGCGGGAAAGGGTAGGACTCTCCTCCGAGTCCCCTTGCTGACGCCAAATTCACAGAGAAGTCAGGCCACGCTCACTTTGCTGTATTAATGGGCGGTTAATTTGCCTTTCCTCACACTTGGCGTGGAAGTTGAGTGAGGTCCTTCTGAGTGATTTGAGGTGTCTGACATCCCAAGGATTCCTGACATGCAGATCCAACTGGAATCATCTCTGATTCCAGCCGAGCGGGAGCAGCTATCTCTCTGTCTGTCTCTCCCCACCACAGCTTCCTCCAAGGACACACAGAAAGAAATAGATACTGTACATACCAGGGTGTATGCTGGGTTGTGCTCTGCCCTTTTGACTTGGTGTTGAGTGCTTTCTGCTCCCACCAAACATCTCCCGGGCAATATAAGGGGAAATGGAAGGAGAGCCACAGAGACTCGATCGGATGGAAAACCTGTCCACATTGGCCACAGGGCCGAGGAAGGGCTTCCTGGCTTTTCAATCTTTGATCCAGAAAGTCACTCCTTCTTCAGGTGTCTCTGAGACGTGGACTCCCTTTAACCCAGTGCTTCTCCATCTCAGCTGTATATTGGAGTCACCCTCACAAATTCTGACTTAATTCGTCTGGGGTGCAGTCTGGCTAGTGGGAACTGAGAAAGTGCCCCAAGTGATTATTCTTTTTTTAAAAAGGATGTGCCCGCAACCTTGACCGGAATCGAACCTGGGACCCTTGAGTCCGCAGGCTGACACTCTATCCACTGAGCCAAACCGGTTAGGGCCCAAGTGATTATTCTAATGGTAACCACTGATCTAACCTCATTCCACCTACAGGGTTGGTTTGCTGGCAGGAACCTCGCCATATCTCAGGTCACCACCAAATATGTTCTCTGGGTGGACGATGACTTTCTCTTCACCACCAAGACCAAGATTGAGAAGCTAGTGGATGTTCTGGAGAAAACGGAACTGGATGTGGTAAGGGATAGTTGCCAGTTTGATCCCAGTTGCAACCCGTAGAAACAGTCACGAGAAGGAAGGAGAGGAGAAGAGAAGAGAAGAGAGGAAAGTATGTGAGGGAAGAGGAGAAAATAAAAGAAAAAAGAAAGAGGAGAGAAGCGGGAAGGAAGGTGAGGGAGAGGGGCTGATGCAGGAGATGAATAGCCAGCACAACTCTGGGCTTGAGGGTGTCACACCAGGACTCAGGAGATGTGCTTGAATTTTGTTTCTGCCTCCATACTTACTTTTTTTTTTAAAATATATTTTATTGATTTTTTACAGAGGGGAAGGGAGAGAGATAGAGAGTTAGAAACATCGATGAGAGAGAAACATCGATCAGCTGCCTCCTGCACATCTCCCACTGGGGATGTGCCCGCAACCCAGGTACATGCCCTTGACCGGAATTGAACCTGGGACCTTTCAGTCCGCAGGCTGACGCTCTATCCACTGAGCCAAACCGGTTTCGGCCATACTTACTTTTTTTTAAAAAATACATTTTTATTGATTTTTTTTTAGAGAGAGAGGAAGGGAGAGGGATAGAGAGATAGAAACATCAATGGAAAGGCTGAGCTTGCTGTATGGTAAGCAGAGCAGAGAACTTGTCTGCCCTTTTGGCTTGGTGTTAAGTGCTTTCTGCTCCCACCAAAGAGATTTTTCTGGGGTGAGTAGGAATGGAGGATCAAAGGACCCTGCAATATATGCTGAAGGCTGTGGCCGCAATAGCAACAAGAGTCACGGAGGACAGCATGAAGGGTAGATAGAGAAAGGGTGTGATTCTTTATATATATATTGATTTCAGAGAAGAAGGGAGGAGAGAGAGATAGAAACATCAATGATGAGAGAGAATCATTGATCAGCTGCCTCCTGCATGCCCCCTACCGGGGACCGAGCCCACAACCCAGGCATGTTCCCTTGGCCGGAATCGAACCTGGGACCCTTCAGTCCGCAGGCTGACGCTTTATCCACTGAGCCAAGTCGGCTAGGGCAAGGGTGTGATTCTTTTTTTTTTTTTGCCCAACAATAACTATGTTTAATACATGGTATACATATGAATGCAGATAAAGGCTGCTGAGTGGACACTAGGTTTAAAAATGGTATCATTATAATGTATTTTATGAATAAGAAAAAAGGCACTGTCTGAAGAGATAGATTTACTTTCCTATACTCTTTAATTTGGATCCCCCATCCCACTCCCTGCCAACCGAGCTGACTTCCCACCATTAGTAGAGAGCGACGACCCTCTGCCAGGCAATGCAGCATGCCGCCCCACCAGCCCCTGGTTCAGAGGAAAGTGCGTTTGGCCTGTTACTCTACAGTCTTCATGCTAACCTGGTTCCAGCTTCAGGAGCACAAAACTCAAGCCTTTGGTCACTTGAGACCTTTCAACAGCACCAACTGGCACTCTAGCTTGTTTGGACCTTAAATGCCACCAACGCTCACTAGATTCCCAATGTTATTTAAATTGTATATCAAGAATTTTTTAAAAAAAGAGAGAGGGAGAGCAGAAGCTTATCAGAATAAGAGCATCCTAGGAATGTTCTTAAAGTCTCTATTCAGCTTTTGGCTGACATATGAAATTATAGACAATAAATATAGTCCCCTTCCCCAGGTATGACACTAAACCAGCTTCTTCTGGGATCTGGTTACAGTATTCATAAAGACAAACTGCCTTGAAAGTCAGACTAGTGATGCTGTGGCCCCAGTGGCCTCTGCAAGTGAGGCCTTGCCATCCACTGGTGGACAAATACATAGTGTCCAGCATCAGTCCCTGGGCCCTCCTGCCTCCCAAGTCTCAGCAGGATCCCTGTGAGGGAGCAGCCTGTACTTCCTTTGGAGGACAACCATAGTGTTTTCCCAGGCACAGCCTGCACCAATAATGCCAAACTTTCCAGGCACAGACAAGTCAACCACAGTTGAGCCGAGGCGACACTTGGGGCTCTTGCCATCCCCAATTGGCCCCCCATCGATTACCAAGGACAGTTGAGGCCAGAGGTCCTGGAACTCCTCCGCATTCAGAGAACTGGGCTGGGAGCTGAGGTTGGCACTGGTGAGAGCAAGCGGCCCCCCACACATCTGGGCCAAGTCCTGCAGGAAGGCATGGTCAGGAATCCGGATGCCTACAAGGGGAGTGAAGGGGTTCAGGTCCTTACTGAGCTCCTCCGAGCGTGCCATCACCAGGGTCACTGGTCCCGGTAACAGGTCTTTGAGGAGCCCCTGGGGTACTTTCACATGACAGAACCGGTACACGTGGACCACGCGGCCCAGGCACACGGCCAGCGGCTTGGCCTCGCTGTGGCCCTTCAGGTGGTACACAGCGTCCAGTGCCCCCGAGCAGCTCGCCAAGCACGCCAGGCCGGACAGCGTATCGGTG